ATGAAATTCGGTAGGTCAGATTGATTGGCCAAAAATAAAACCTATAGAAAATCTCAACTTCCTAACTTTACATACACCAAAGTTATGGCATTTCCGATCGTTCAGTTATATGACAGCTATAGGATATAGTCGTCCGATCCCGGCCATTCCGACTTATATACTGCGTGCAAAGGAAAGAAGGGTGTGTGCAAAGTTTCAATTCGATATCTTTAAAACTGAGAGACTAGTTCGCGTAGAAACAGACAGACGGACAGACAGACGGACAGACAGACGGACAGACGGACAGACGGACAGACGGACAGACGGACAGACGGACATGGCTATATCAACTCAGGAGGTGATCCTGATCAAGAATATATATACTTTATAGGGTCGGAGATGTCTCCTTCACTGCGTTGCACACTTTTGACCAAAATTATAATACCCTCTGCAAGGGTATAAAAAGAAACCAACGACGACGACGAGAGCCCAACCCAGCTGCATTGAAAAACGCGGATTTTCCACAATTTTCATAGGATTTTTATGCTGCTCAGGGGAGCTATTCTTCATCGGGACATTGAAATGGACTTTAAAAAGTCTGAAAAACATTTGTTGATTCTATTTTATATTCAATTTTATTGTTTTTAAATAATTGTTTTTATAGGGGATTTGAATCTTTAAAAATTCTGAAAGTAAATTTCATATAAAATTGGTTAAAATTCCTTGAAAGAATTCCTGTAAGTTCTTAAAGTTGCGAACCACTTAAATCCCGAGTGGATTATTAGTACCTAGTCAATTCTCATTCTCTCTGTTTTCATCAAGCCCTTGCGAACCCAAATTCGACTTACAAATCAACTCAATAAAAACAATTTTCGATATTAAATTATCATTTTGCCCATCGCCGCCCAGGATTGTTGGAAAACTTTCTCCTTACCACTAGCCCCTCCCATTTTTCCCACACACACACACACATATACTCTCTTATATTTATATATATTTCACCACTACAACTACAACAAAAGGATGTCGTGTCGTGCCGCGTCGCTTAATCATGTCAATGATTTATAACGCTTTCAAGGAGCGCACCAAAACTCGAACTTGTCGACGCCAACTTCCCCCTCCCATTTTCCCACCCACTTTCCCACCCATTTTCCTCAAGGTGAGCGAGGGGGCTGGCAGGGGGGGAGGGGAGTGCCACTGAATGACTTGCCAGACAAAAGCATAGTAACTAGCTTAGGAGCTGGAGACTGGGGCCAGGTCAGAACATAAGTTTTCCAGCTACTTATATGCCGCCGAGTCGGGGCGAAATTTATCTCACGAAAAATGATTTGGCTCATTATCAACAGGAGCTAAAGTGCAGCCAGTGCACCGGAAAAAAAATAAATTTCTTAAGTCCTAAAGTAATCCCTAAATTAAAGAATATTTTTAAGGGCATTTAAATATGCATTTAAAAATAATAGAGGCAGCATCTAATCTTAAACATATATAAACTATACATTTAACTAGAAATTCTTCTATTGGTAATTAATTTTAAATTTTAAATTTATGTTTATTTTAGAGTTTTAAAAATCACTCTTGCTTTGTCAAGTATTCAATCATCTTTAAATTATTTAAATTGAAAATCTCATTGAATTATTTATATTCCAAGCTCAAGTTTAAAGCTCTATCTTTTATAAAATATTTATTAAAAACGAAAAATAACAATTCTATTTATTTCTTCATGTGTACGAAGTAGCAGAGATACATTTATAGACAAAAGGGGCTTTTGGAGTGAGGGACATCGAACAAACGCATAAATCAACAACAAAAACAGAAAAAATGATTTATTTTTCTTGGCTGCTTCTTCAGCTGCTGCTTCTTCTTCTTATTTTCTCCCTCCAAAAACACCCCCAACTTCTAAAATTTTTCTGCGACGGGGTTGGACCCGTTGTATGATTGCTTCTAATAAGTAAAGTGGGATAATGCCAGGAATTTTCGGGGGGAATGAGGCGAAGGCTGTCTCGAAGGGGAAGTACCCATAATCAGTGGGGAAAAATGGGGAAAAACGAGGAAAATAAATAATGGGGGGGTGAGCAAAGGTGTGCATGCCCACCAATAATAAAGTAATCAAAGTGATATGGTGTTGATGCCACAGAAGGAGGAAGAAATAAGTTCATATGGGGGCTGTGGGGACAGGATAAAAGGAAGCCCCGAACAATGTGTTGTTATTGTTGCCAGGACACACACACACACAAACACACACATCCTCGAGATTATGCCATTAAGACATGAGGCAATCGAATTATGGTCCTGGCCTGCAAATGAAATTGAATAAGGAACGTTAGAGGAGGAGACACTGGGAAAATCCAGCTGAACAATGGCACAATGGAGAAGGCATTTAAGAGGCCAATCTGACTGAGGGATCTGGCCATAATTATTATTGCCAGGGGTATTATTAACGGGGAAATATTTAATACAAAAATTTAAATTCATAACTTATTGCTTGAATTTAGAGAGAACATAATCATATTATTTGAAATCACATAAAAACATTAATCAGGTAAGAATTCTGTCTTTAATAAATCATAGGGTACATACTACACGTTCTATAACAATAATAAATAAACATTTTCGATTGTATTGAATAGTTTTTAATGCCTTATCATCCGTTTTTGGTATGAGATTTTCGCAGGAGTAACTTTCCAGTACATATGTTTGGTGTCTCTCCGCCAAAACCCCATAAATAGAACTCTTAATTACCTTCTCAAGTGCCAAGTGCACTCACCTGGCCGGGAAAAATCCCCCCCTATTTTCCACTTTCCCCTGGTAGCAAAAAACTTCCTGCACAAAGAAAACCCAAACACAGCAAACACCAGGAAGAAGTTGAGGCAAAAGCCGAAGACAAAGTATAAAACATATGCCAAAACACCGATTGCAATTAATCTTGTGCATGTTTCAACGAAGCCCCCAAACCTTTTCGAATTTCCCCCACTGAGGTAAACTGTATTGGTAAACAACAAAACAGAAAACTTGCGCTGCATTTGGTTTTCGGTTTTCCCTTTTTTTTCCCCGCCAGGATTGCCACCTGCAAAAAGGAAGCAAGCAATTTAGTGCGGTTGTGTTTGGGTGCTGATCTATTGTTGGCAAAGCAAACTTTGCAGCATACTTCAAGGCGCCACCCACATAAGCCGCTATTCCCTGGAATACTACCATAGAATTGTGTGTGTGTGTGTGTGGGTGTGCTATAGACATTTGTGAGGTATCCCTTAAATACCAATTTATGGCACAAGCAGATAAAGTCCCAAATCTGCACTTAATCTTTTGCATTGTTTAATTTCGACTCATTGAGTTGGAGCGCCAAAAATATCCCACACTCCCACTCCGGATTTCTCTATTTCCGTCTAAGTGTGTGTGTGTGTTGGGGTGGTTGGGGGGCGTGTGGGCGTGCCCATATGAATGGGCATTGTTCGGAAGGAGTGGGTTCGTACTTTAGTTGCCTGGGAAATAAATCGCTGTCGACGTCTACACTGTGCTACACCGAAAATAATAGATCTTGTATAATAATATACAACTTAAGGCCCTTAAATGATCAATTTGCTATGTTTTACTTTAATTACTTACTGCAGATACTGATTTTGCAGATATGTTACCCAAAACTGCACATAATTTAAGCCATTGGTATACAATTTTTAATATGGCATACCCAAATTGTTGGTTTTCTCAAAACAGTAACTCTAGAACTCATAACTAAACTTACCGGACTTTAATTTAACTACAATTGCAGTGTTAGATTGCATTCAATTTTTAATTATTTTTTGTTCCACTTTGATGATTTTATCCCTTTTAAATATATATAAAGTATCTGTCTACATACAACAATTATATAACAATTTATAATTTTATCTATGATACAAAGAAGAATTGTTTTCAAGTTGATCAGTAAGGTGCACCTAATCGGTATAAGATAAGAGTAAAAGTTTAAACCAAAGGTATTTGAAAATAATGAAAATATCCAATCGATATTAATATTAATTTTTTTCTGTGCCAGGGAAAATCAAAGGAAAATAAGGTGTGTGCGGGAAAGTCTTGGGGGCGGGGTCTTCTTGGTTTGCTTGTGTGTAATTTTCGATGCTTCATTGCAACCACGGCAACAACAAAAACACATCCTTGCTCAACAGGCGCAACAGTCGTCCTTCCTTCCTTTCTAGCCCCCCCCTCCCCACTCCCCTTTCCTTAACCCCTGTTCGCCCTCGTCCTCAATTTTGCGGTTTCCATGGGTGGCAAACAGTGGAATGGAGGGGGGTTTCTGAATCCGGGTCTTCGTCCAACGCAAGTTGTTCGCTAGTTAAAACTTACAACTTGCGCGTTATTTCCTGCCATACACACACACTTCGGGGGGGAACTACTTTCACCCCCTCCCAACCGCAATGCCCTCCGTACTTAAGGTGTTAACGCAAAAGCTTGACTCATAAAATATTGAAAAAGCCGCAAAAACTTTGCACCAAAAAAGCTCGGGAAAATACACATAGGTAATATAGAGTGTAAAGGGAGGGGGGGAAAGGGAAATAGGGGGCCAATTGCGGCGGATTGTCGGAACCCCAAATTGAACGGTTAAGTGGCGGAGCCAGTAAAACTTTCTTAGTTGACTTTCTTAACTGTTTACAAAGGAAAGCCCTTGGAAAAAGAATAGCTAACAAATCAAAATATATATTTAATAAGGCCTTGACATATTTAAATCCGATTTAAATGTCAATATCTTGAGATTGGTTTGCATGAGAATCGATAAGATTTAGCACGACTTATTTGAATAAATTATATTATTACTTTCTTATTACTTTTTAAGTCAAATATACACATAAATATCTATTTATAAAAATATGTAAACAGAAACTTGCACTTTTCAGTGTAAAGATTTAAAAAACCAATAAGCATAAGAATAAAAATAAGCACTTGTTTTATAATCAGAAATACAAATAAATATTTCTTATCTTGTTACGTCAAATTAAAAAAAAATCGTTCGTAAATGAAAATCGTTCTAAAAAAAATGTGGAAATAACTCTCCGTTTTTTATTGTTGTTTTAAGTTTTCCTCATTTTCCGGGGTCGCCAATCTTCGATCAGACATGACCGCCGATCGCATAATCCTGCTGCAGTTCAGCATGCACTGTTTCAAGATCATCTTCATCTACTGCATCTGTGTAAATGTCCTGGAGCATCTTGTCCAGCAAGTCCAGGAAAACTGAGCGGGAAAATGCTGGGTCCGGAAAACGGGGACAATAAATATTAAGCGGAAGTTATTTCAAAATCCTTCTGGTTTATCCTTATTTTTGGTGCATTAAAGAGGTAGATAGGTTTGAATTATATTCCTATGTATGTCCTGCATGCTTCTGCCTTCTAATAATCAATATATTTTATTTATATCAAAACTGCAACACCATCTTAAAGCATCGCAAATTATCCACTGAAATTTACGTAAAATTATCTTCCTAAAGAAAGCAGAGTTATAAAATATTCCCCAAAAATGTTTACAGATTTTTTTTCATCTCCACTCAACCTGAAAATCGATGCGATTTACGTAAATTACATATAATTTTTAATAGGTTTTTCATCAGGCATAAATTATTTCGAGCAAGCAAAGGCATTCGCGGAGAAAACACGAAACGGAAATTTAAATTACCTGCAACGTAATTACACAAAAGAATATGCCAATAAAAATGACTTATGTATCAATTTCCTTTACGACACAATCCCAGACGAAATGGGGAGGATGATAATGATGATGATGATAATAATAAAAGGCAGCGTAGCACAAAGCGAAAAATTTTCAATTTTATTTTTATTGCCTTATTGTGTATCAAATATTTACAATTATTTGCCCCGAGTCCCAGGAAAATGAACGAAAAGGCACACAGACGCGCCGCGGAAAATTTAAGGTGAAAGGAGAGGGGGAAAAGGGGGGGTGTGCCATAATGTTGGGGGCTGATAAATTCAAATAAATTTTTGGCGTTGCACTGTAACCAAGGTGAAAATGATGAGACTTTTCGTGAATACTCACAAAACTACAGACGTGAAAAAGTTTTCGATCAAAAACGCTCCCCTTCTCTTTCTATTCGCTTAGTGCCGTCTCTGTTGCTCTCTCTGTGTGGCGGCATTAAAATTTTATTTTAATGTCATCGAGACGTTGATTTACAGCCACCAGTTTCTCGGTCTGCGCTTTTGTGTGTGCGGCAGGCAAAATATAATTTTAATAATATTTTATTGCTTCGAAAAGTGGTAATAGCGCGTAAAATGCTAAAGCCTGAGAAAATTTCCAAAAAGGATGGGGAAAATGGGAAAAATGTTCTTTTAATCCGTATGAGTCAAGCTTATATTCTTTTGCAGTATGTATTAGAGAAAGTAATATTAATATAAGCATTTTTATTTTAAAGATTAAAAATGGCTATAAAAATGATAATTAAACGATAAAGAAATAATTTTTAAGACATATAACATTTACCTTAAATGCAGAACTATGGATTAAAGCACTTAAAATTAAAGTCTATGTTCAAGAATATTGTCCTACCTTTTCTCCATCTGTGTTAACTGTTTATTTCTGTTGCCATTTTCGCCGAAGAAGGAAACGCTGCGAATTGGACGGGATTCCATCAATTGGAAACACATTTGCCGTGAGCTTTTCCGCATTTTCCCACTCCACATCCGTCTGCCTTTCCTATCTGGTTCATTTAACAACAATTATAATGGTTTCCACTTTTGGCATTACTTTTAACGGTTGTCTACTTCGGTTTTCCTCAGGTTTCTGTTGCGTATACTTATTCTTTTTCTTTCTTTTTTTTTTCGGGGGCAATCGAAGAGCTTGTAAAACTTAATGAAATGAAACCTTAGGAAAAGCGAAGCGGAAAAGGTAAATGAAGAGATTGGCTTGGCACTTTTCGGCTTTTCCGAATCTATTTTAAGTAATATTTATGTGACTTCACCTCCCATTTTATCCTCCCCCCGCGCCACTCACCAATTAATTTTTATTTATGTCTGTATATACAAATATATACAGTTTTTTCCGGTTCGCTTTTCCCTTATCAAACAAACAGTTGGCAAAATGATAAATGCCCTTCACCCTAACCCCCTCTCTTTGGTAATTTAATATTTTTTCCATTTTTTTTCCAAACTTGGGGCTGCTAAAAAATGACAATTTTTAATTATCAAATGCGTTTAATGATAAAAATTGTCTAAGCGAACAAACGGACGGGGGTGTGGCAGCCACTTTCCCAGCTTTTAATTTATGATTTATTTGTGGGGGTGGCGGGGCGCCCATAATAATTAATATTGCACACAAGAAAAATACCAGAAAAAAAAGAAACCGAAGCGAGGCGAACCTAAAAGAAAAACAACAACAAACAGAACGCGGGCAAAGGCGTCGAAAACAATTCCCCCAGGAGGGGGGAAAGGGGGGTGGGAAAATTTTTCATAAATCTTAAAGGCGGAGACAGTAAGTGCAATGTCATTGAGGAGAAAAAAAAAGCAACGAAAAACAAAAGGGGTAGTAGGGGGAATAGGAAACAAAACCCAAGCGGGCACAGAACCCAGACCTGCCACCCCCTTCGAAACCCCCGCCCCTGTCGCCACATGTCGTCTTGAGCCTGCCGCGAACACAAAATTAAAAGTATTTCTCGAATTATTGTTAATGATGATTAAAAATATGTGTACCTGCGGAAATGAAACGGCAAGGCGGTGGATTGTAAAGGGAGTACACCTGTCCCCAAAGCGAACACATGCTCTCCATCCGAGTTCACTTGACTTTGACTTCTCCGAAGGTGTTTTCCTGAAGAAAATAATATGGAAAATATGTGTCTAAGGATATGCAGCTAGGAAAATAAAATACAAGTCTATCATCACATCATAAATGAAATTAAGCCAGAAATTTACAAATACAATCTACAATACAAAATATATGAAATTTCATTATTTGTACATTCAACTTAGAAAAATAATTTTACCCTTTAAAGTCATTCTAAAAAGTTACAATATATTTATTAAATTTATCAAATATTTAATATATTTACACATACTGTAGATACAATAAAGTAATTAATTACTTACTACCCTAGTTAAATTATTATAAAATTATATTTATTTAAAAATCACGATTTTTCAGACCTATCTTCTATGTTGCTCTGGCCAAAGATCAGCCACTATTGCAAATGATTTTAAACTATTTAATTTATATTTTTATATAAATAAATATTATTACTAAATATTATTTTTAAATATTATTACTAAATTATAAAATCAATTGGTTAATTACCACTCTAATTGAGATGTATACTCACATCCCAACATTTTTCAAGACATTTTAAATATTTTACAGACATATTTCCTCCATCAATCTATCCAAATTATCCTCCACATATGTCCAGAAATCAAAAAGAGCATTTTCGCAAAATATTTGGAAAGGGAAAAGGTTTTCTGTTGGTGGTAAAGGGTTGAATGCGGCGTGTGGCGGCACTCGATAACATAATTATCTGTCATAATCAGTAGGCGTTGAAATGTGCAATTTAAAGAGCAATTTAATGCGCGCCAGCAGCCAAAAACAACAACACCGATGCAGATACAGTCGCAGCTACATATATAGATACAGATACGGATTCGGTTATGGATGGCAGATACAACTACATATACAGATGCAGATACAAACACAAATCACCAGGCAGTTGCAGATGCACAAAAGCAACCGGTTGCATGGGGGTGGCAAAAAGGGGGTTGCCAGTGCAACGGCGGGGAGAAGGGGGTTTAATTCAGTGGCGTAGTTGAGAAAACTAAAAAAAATATATATATATCAAAAATATGACAAACATATAAAATTCCTTAAAACATTAAATAATATTAACACTGGTTTTTACCATAATTTAAGTATTTGCTATAACATTAAAATTAATAAATAATAAAAATTAATTAATTAATAATAACCGCGAATTCTTCAGTATTACTTGGGCACTTTAAAAAATTGCCTGAGTTTAGCTTATCTTATCTTAGAAGCAATAAATTATATTTCTTAATTATGTACCTTATTTAATTGATTACATTATTTTTTCATTGTCTTTTATTTATTCCATCCTATTAAAAACTCCAATGAAAACCTCATAAAGTGAATTAAGCAGAAACCCCCTTCCCTCTACGCCTCTGCGATTGTTTGCCATCGTCTAAAGCATTTCGGTGATTGTGTCAGTTTGAGTTTTTGCAAATTTGCATCGGATTATTGCAATAAACATAATTATGCGCGCTGCATATGATTTTTCAATTAAACACATGCCAACTCCCCGTGAAAAGTCCCCGTTTGTGGGGTTATCATCGTGGGACGTGGCAAATAAAGGGTTAAGCCGGGCTTTTTGAGGGGATGTGTGTTGAAAAGGGGGCTAGGGTATTTGATACCAAGGGATTCTGGGATGACATGACCAACCAATTGCTGTTCGTTGCGGGTGTTTGTAATGCATATTTGTTAATTAAGTGACACATGCGAGTGTGAAAAACCCCCAAACCCCTCCAAAAAAACACCATCCATGCACCACCCAGCATGTGGTGCAATTCTAGCGGTGCTTAAGTGGAATCAATGGATTGTAATGCGGAGATAATCATTTTTAGCAAAAAAAAAAAGTGGCGCATATATCATTAAATTTATTCTGAAGAGCCTTAACCTTGAGTGGGGAGAAAATGGGAGTGGGCGGTTGCCAATGAGACAAATGTTACGCACTCAGCAGGATATCACTGAAATTTCAATTAGACGAGGTGTCGATGCTGAAATTATGCGAAAATGCGATTGCCATTGTATTTGTCATTTTAAGCATATTGCACTTGATGACTGGTTTCCCTCGTTTCCCAAAGACACCATAAACCATAACCAGATGTTTGTTGTCTTTGAAAGCGAAGTTGTTGTATTGATGTTAAAGGTAAAATAAATTCGAAAAGAAGAACGCTTGTCGTGTCAAATGGATCCACCCGGGAAATATAGAACACCACTATTTAAAAAATGCCACTACAAGAAAAAGGAAAGCAAGTGTCCTTAAGTCAGGGTGACAGTGGCCACAATTCCAGCCACCGGGATTCCACGATCCTGCAAGGATAACTCTAGCAGATAATCCCCCTTGGGAGCGTCGTCCGGCAGGAAATTGGTCTCCATCTCGTATTTATCGATCGAGTACTTGCCCTTCGGAAAAGGACATGTTTCCGGCTCCGGCAAATTGGAGACCTTCTGTATGTGCGGATAGGTGTCCTTGTCCTCCTTGATGAACTGGCAGAAGGGCTTGTTCACATTCATCACCATGAGTCCCTTTTGCCTGGCATACGAGTCGTATACGAAAACCCTGAGAGTAATCTGTAAGTATTTTAAGATATTTATATTTTATTTTTATTTATATTTTATTTTTATTTATATTTTATTGATATTGGAAACTACAAAATATATCGCATAAAGTTACAGTTTGTTTCAAAGATATGAGAGAAAGCCCGAAAAGTTTGAAGCTAGTGTAACTTTTTCTACATTTATTTTAATTCCGCAAGTTACCAAATATATATAATTCTATTTAAGTAATATGTTTTTTTAGAATTCTTTAATAGATATTCCAGAATAGATAATTTTAAGAAACACCAGCTTTAAAATAAGAAAGTAATCTTTTTTGTCACAAATGCTATCGCAAGAAAATATGATATTTTATAATTTTACAAGCTGGCGTTTTTCGGCAAATAAAAAATCACTCTTCCAGATTACTAAATATATATTTCAATATTAAAAAATAACATTTGTTTATATTCCAACACCAGTTTTATTAAAAAGCATACCTTCTGCTGGTCACCCATATTGAGTTTGAATTCAAAGTCACCAGCAACGACAAATTGGTTCCGCCCGATCTTTTTCATCCTCAGCGATCCCCAGTCCACCCAATTCTCCTGATTATTGATGGATTGGTCCTTTCCAAAGGTATTTAGCTCCACACTGTAAGGCTTTTCGGCTAGACAAATTTGGACCAAGAGGATCGGAAGAAAATGATTTATAAGCCATTTCAGACTGGAATGGCGCCTTGCCATCGTGCTACTTTTACTATTACTGTCCGTCGATCGAGCAGATCTCCAAATATATATTTTTACAGAAATTGAGCCTCAGTTCGCTCAAAACTGAATCTCTCACGCCAAATCGGTGTTCGTGCATAATTATGTAGCTTTATCTGGATGTATCGTTATAACCGAAACCATTTTAGTTGCAATTTCGTGTTTTGCTGATACAAAATATCAAGGTTGAAATTAGTTTAATATCTGTAAAACATCATTGTTCTGACCTTACTTAAATTAAACTTCGTTATACTTGTTAAATACAAGGTTTTAATAAACAAGAAAAGAAGCAAAATTCAGGAAGCCGAAGTTTATATGCCCTAGCTACTGTTACAAATATTAAATATAAAATATTCTCTATTTCAATTTCGATACTTCAATGAAGCGGGTGCAATTTTCCGATTTTGCCATAGGAACAAGTATTTCATTTGGATGTCGGATGACTGTAAGAAAAGTGAAGAAAAAGGTCACTTTTCTGCATAGCCATGATAAATATGACGAAAAATCGACCAAAAAATTTAAATCAAGAGAAAAACACAGATTTTTAGATATTAAGTCACCATTATTATATGTAAGCCACTTTAAAATCGGATTTCTGGAAGAAAAGTTATGGGCTCAGATGTGCAGATTTTGGACACTTTTCAGCAAAGTCATTTTTCGGAAATTTGGAAATCGAAACCAAATTTCAAATCAAGATTTAAACGCAGATTTTTAGAAAATTAAACCACAATAATTTAAAAGATTGCCTCTTTGATATCGGATGTCTGTTTAAAAAGTTATTGGCTTAGTTTTCTTTTTTTTATTGAGTAATTCCTATATATCGAAGAAGAACCTTTTATAGTTCCTATTTTATTTTACTGAATATAAAAAAGTTAAAACTGTTCTCAAATTCTTAATTGGTGGATCTCTACCCAATTGTATGAAATTCCAACACTGCCGTCAATCGAAATCCCATTCCACTTCTTCAGCAACAATCAATCCTCTGGCTGCTCAACTTTTCCGTTGAAATTCTGGAAATATTTTATGCCAACTAATCTCTTAACACTCTATTGAGACATGTAAACTTTTAATAGCATTTGCTCCTCCACTCCGCCAAAGTCTGATGGGCAAAAGAGCCAAAAGGAATGGGAAATATCGGAGGTCTGGAGACCTTGTTTTATGGCCTGCAGCAGTTTTCGTGTTTGAACATCAAAAGTAATAAATTCATCGAACCATCACAGGCCAGAAATTCAGCGGCTAAGGATTTTGTTGTTTTAGGTCGTTGCTCAATAACTTTCCACAGGCTTTTGCCGCTTTTCCCTCGTTTTCCCAACTCCCGAAAATTCACCAGTCTTGCCGTTAATTTCCCGCGTTGTTTGCCGTTGTTTTTGCCGTGTTTTCCACCGATTTTCCTCCTTTTCCACTGCTGCTGCCAAGTTATTTAGGTAACTGTCTTGACTTGTTTCTTTTGGCCTGGCCCCCTGCATTGATTGCCCCGTGGTATTCCGAAGTTGGAGTGAAAGTTTCGTTGGGGTCACCATAAATATCCCAGTTCCCAAACAAGCCAGAAGTTAAGTGTCTCTGAAAGTTTGCTGCAAATAATTCAGGCTTATTTATTGGTTTCTAATCTAAAGGCAAGTTAGCCAGTAACTAGTTAGTCGCACTTTATGAGTAGTTAGTTGTAGAGCAAAACTACAATTATTTTGTTGGATCGTTAATTTGAAAATTGTATTTGATTTTTAGTTTAGCATATAAATTTGACTGCAATCAAACATTTTACACTTCTTTTGATTGTTATTGAGTAACTCCGAATATTTATTTAATTAAAGCAATGCGAGCAATAATTACACAATGACTGCTTCACAATTTTTGCTTAAATGAGAGTCACGTGACAAAATACACAGGACATCATTTCAATAAAAAAATACACACCGAGAAAATAAAAACAAAATACTCAAAGAATTTCCAGCGGCGTTGGGTTCATAAAGACAACCCGTTGTGTGTGGGAGAGAGATGGACTCAAGGAGTGAGGGAGATGGGAAGACAGAAGTGTGCTAAAAGAATTGCAGTGAAATTAAAATAAAATAAAATTTACGTTGAATTAAAAGGAAGCCAGCAACAACAACAATAGTAGAAGGAGAACTCTGAAGAATGTAAAGGGATTTTCTAAAAGCCTAACGAATAGTTAAGTTCCCATCGATTTGGCTTTGATTACTAGATTAATAACAAATAACAAATCAGGTGTATTAATATAATAGAAATAAGTAGTAATACAAATACTTGTTCAAAGGAATTTAAGTCAATCGATTCTTTGATTAATTAATTACAAATAAAAATATTTATTTAAGTTTAATACGAAACTAGGAATGTATTTTTAAGTTCTTTGAATTTGCTGGGCCTTTAGTACATACATTTTTGTAGATTAATTGCAAGCCTGCTCCTTTCCCTAATTAAAATCATACAGGGTATCTGATAAGCAAAAAAAGCGCAAAAACAAAGGCGAAATAACGAAACTGACTAAAGTGGGAGGACGAGTCGTGACTTCATTTGCTTGACACTTGGAAAAGGGCTTTGGAAAATGGGTGAAAATGGGGGAAAGCTGTGGCATCAAGTGTGTGCCATAAAGGATGGGGAAAAACAGAGAGGGTGCGAAAAGAAAAGGCTGCAAACGATTCCTAATTGAAAACTATTAAATTCTTTTTTTCCCTTTGCCCGCTGCTACTTAATTTCTCCTTGGCACCCAATCTTTCCCCATTTTCCGCGCTATTTTCCACACCCCCCCTGCCCCACCCCCCTTTTTTTCGCCTGGCGGGTCCAAATTGGAACTTGAATTTCATTTCGAATGACATTCGCTCCATCACGCGTCAACTGCAGCCAACTCATGGCACGTAGCTGGGATGGTTTAAAAAAAAAAGGAAAAGCGGAAAAACTCTGGACAGGGGAGAGCGAAAAAAAAAATAAGAAAGAAAAGCGGACATTTTCATTTGAGCATATTTAATTAGATGCAATTATTTATGGTATTAAATAGATGAGGCAGTAAATGTGCTGTACACTGCGTTGACTTCTCCAACTCCCCGAACCCAAGGAAAATTGAAATAAAATGCTAAAGAATTGCGTCGTTGTCTGTCGCCAAAGCAAAGAAGGCGAACAAAAAAATTGTATAGACCCGCCAGAGAAGTGGGAAAAATACTGGTGAGGAAAATAAAAAAAAAAAGGCGAAGAGGAATATTCAATTCTTGGCTCACTCAAAAAGGCACAATTCTGCAGCGAAATGCCACGATGCCCAGTCTTCAGCCCCCAACCCCCCTTGCGCATCATTTGCCAGCCAAACCATAACAATGGGGCCAGGAAAACCCCCTGGAAAATCCCTCGGACGAAGGAGTGCATTTAAATGGCAGGAAATTTGAAAAAAATTGAAATTTAAGTCTTTGATATATTGAAACCGATTTATTAGCCGCCCCTTTTCTTTTCTCCCTAGCCACACCCATTGTTAGTCATTTTCCTCTTTTAGAAAGAAAAAAAAAGAAAAACTTATCTTCGGTTTGCCCATCTTCTCCGCTTCTCCTTATTTATTGTCTGTATAAAACAGAGATGAGCTTTGAATGAGGACCTACTGAACAGAAATACTGACCAAAACTAATGGTCATCATTTCAATATTGATTACATCATATCCCTAACAACGCTATAAGCTCCCTAACAAAAATCCTATTCAAGTCGAAAGTTCAAGTTTTAGATAGAATACAATTTAAATTTCACATTGATTAATATATGTCTGACTTTTTATTCACAAAATACTACACCTTTTTAAGCATCTTCTGTAAATAATAAATGAGGGATGTCCAAATGAGTAAAACATTAAATTAAAACCCGATTAAAATTTAGAATAACAATGTTTTTATTAAAGAAATCAAATGTATGACCTATTATTCACTAATATTTTAAAATCCTTTAGGAATGTTCAGAATAATCTCTTTCATATCGTAAGCAACATTTAAAGGACATATATAAAATAATAAGATTGATAAATATCGCAGGTTGATGGGGCATTATCATCATCATGAGTAAAACATTACATTAAAAACCGATTAAAACTTTGAATAGCATGTGATTGGACAATATTTAAACAATATGTGTTTTTCTTCCAAAAATATTAAAAATTGACTAAGATACGGCAATCTCCGGCGGCGCCTCGAAGAAAAGACGTTTTGCGGTGTACACGATAACCGGTCACAGAATCATCCGAAATGAAAAAATCCAATTACATTAGTTAAGGAACAAGATTCCCCAGGTAACCCTGTCGAGTTTTTATTTTTTTTATTTTTTTTCGATTTTTTAAGGCACTTGAAAGTCAAAAACACCGATTTTCGCCTAAAACATCGAGATATTTGTTGCTCAAAATATAATACATTTTCAAAAAAAAAAAAAAACTGGACAGCGTTACCTGAGGAATTTAGTTGAGAACAACTGTGCAAAATTTCAAAACGATCCGTTTATTGATAAACATCGCAGATGAAAGGGGCATTATCATCATTCCACAACTCCACATCATTGAACACCGCCACAAATCCACACCTCGGACATCCAACCTCCCCCCTTTGACATTTATTGGAGTTAATAGCGCGTGACCATGGACAGTCAACCCCTTTCGCACCTTTGGCCTGGCGGACAAGACAAATCACACAAATTGACAAACGTTTAACATAATTTACACAGCAAAGTCGAAGCGACTTACACTTGACCACAACCCCCATTTCCATATCCATTCCCAGCCCCATCCCCATCGCCACCCAATATTGACCCTTTCGCCTTTCGTCCCTGGAAAACCCTTGTCAACATTGCGTAACCGAAACTATTAAAAAGATCAGCCGGACACTTGACTGCATACCGGGGGGGAAAAAAAAAAGAATAAAACAAGAAATGGCAAGAAAAAAAGGGGCCAAAAAATGGGGAAATAAAATTGAAGAGGATGACCCACCGTTTGCCCCGGAATTTTCGGTCA